GTATTGCAACCTACCCACAAACCTATTAATGGGGAAAGTCCTGGGTAATACTTTAGTACCAACTCGGCCTGGATCAAACCAGGGCCAAGAGGGACTAAAGAACGAAACGCTCTGTGACAGATAACAATCTAAACAGACGTCAAGTTTATCTGCTTTGTCTTTGTATATACAGTATTGTATATTTACAGATGTGTAGTATCCTATTAGCTGTGTATTTTATACTGTAAATGTGTATATTCCTGAGTACATACAGTGCCTTGCGAAAGTATTTGGCCCCCTTGAACCTTTCAACATTTCGCCACATTTCAGGCTTCAAACATAAATATATAAAAATTTTATTTTTTGCCATGAATCAACTACAAGTGGAACACAATCGTGAAGTGGAACGAAATTTATTGGATAATTTAAAAAAAAAATTACAAATAAAAAACTGAAAAGTGGGGCGTGCAATATTATTCGGCCCCTTTACTTTCAGTGCAGCAAACTCACTCCAGAAGTTCAGTGAGGATCTTTGAATGATCCAATGTTGTCCTAAATGACTGATGATGATAAATAGAATGCACATGTGTGTAATCAAGTCTTCGTATAAATGCACCTGGTCTTTGATAGTCTCAGGGTTCTGTTTAAAGCGCAGAGAGAACCATGAAGACAAAGGAACACACCAGGCAGGTCCGAGATGCTGTTGTGGAGAAGTTTAAAGCCGGATTTGGATAAAAAAAGATTTCCCAAGCTTTAAACATCTCAAGGAGCACTGTGCAAGCAATTATATTGAAATGGAAGGAGTATCAGACCACTGCAAATCTACCAAGACCCGGCCGTCCCTCCAAACTTTCATCTCAAACAAGGAGAAGACTGATCAGAGATGTAGCCAAGAGGCCCATGATCACTCTGGATGAACTGCAGATAACTACAGCTGAGGTCGTGCACTGTCGTGCACTGCACAAATCTGGCCTTTATGGAAGAGTGGCAAGAAGAAAGCCATTTCTCAAAGATATCCATAAAACTCTCGTTTAAAGTTTGCCACAAGCCACCTGGGAGACACACCAAACATGTGGAAGAAGGTGCTCTGGTCAGATGAAACCAAAATCAAACTTTTTGGCCACAATGCAAAACGATATGTTTGGCGTAAAAGCAACACAGCTCATCACCCTGAACACACCATCCCCACTGTCAAACATGGTGGTGGCAGCATCATGGTTTGGGCCTGCTTTTCTTCAGCAGGGACAGGGAAGATGGCTAAAATTGATGGGAAGATGGATGGAGCCAAATACACGACCATTCTTGAAGAAAACCTGTTGGAGTCTGCAAAAGACCTGAGACTGGGACGGAGATTTATCTTCCAACAGGACAATGATCCAAAACATAAAGCCAAATCTACAATGGAATGGTTCACAAATAGATGTATCCAGGTGTTAGAATGGCCAAGTCAAAGTCCAGACCTGAATCCAATCGAGAATCTGTGGAAAGAGCTGAAGACTGCTGTTCACAAACGCTCTCCATCCAACCTCACTGAGCCCGAGCTGTTTTGCAAGGAAGAATGGGAAAGAATTCCAGTCTCTCGATGTGCAAAACTGATAGAGACATACCCCAAGCGACTTGCAGCTGTAATTGCAGCAAAAGGTTTTTTATTTGTTAAAAAAGTTTAAATTATCTAATAAATTTTGTTCCACTTGACGATTGTGTCCCACTTGTTGTTGATTCTTGACAAAAAAATTAATTTTTATATCTTTATGTTTGAAGCCTGAAATGTGGCGAAATGTTGAAAGGTTCAAGGGGGCCGAATACTTTCGCAAGGCACTGTATATCCAGATTATTCTATTCTCAAAATAGATTGTTACTTTATTGTTATTTTCATTGTTGTTTTTGTATGGAATACTACGCAATTAGCTACTGTGACAACGCAATTTCACTTGTGAATCACTAAAGTCTGTCTAAGTCAAAGAAGGACCTGGTACTGGTTGAACAGGACCAGTGGAAACACTTGTATAATGGTGGTGTAGCTGTCACAATACTCAAGTCCAAGAAATCCTGAGCACTCTGTTTGGTACATTTACAAAATATTGAAATGACCCCTTTCTGTGGCTACAATTAATTAAAGCTCTGGCACCTAACTTTGTTTCATAAATACAATTGTCCCCACAAAGAGCAAATTAGACCACAACTTACATCGTATTAGAAGACATGTTACTTTCTGAAACTTTCTTTTCTTTATCCAACAGAGAGCTGCTTGTTCACAATGAAACTGGAGCGACTGGAACCCGATCTGCTGACGCTTTGATCAGCTGTCCACAATAAATAGCTGCACATCGCACTAAGAATAGAGCAGGATACACGGCCCACATTGTCTCAGGATACAGGATTATGTTGTGTTTGCCACCGCCTGCCAAATGGACCCTTTGACCGCTGCTTTTGGATAACTTCAAAACTCTATTTGCATACATAGACTGTACAGGTGGATAATGGGAACATAGACTGTATATATAGATGGACAGTGCTAACCAGCTAGCTCGATGAAGCCCAATAGGGAAGGGCTCACTGTAAAGTTTTGCTCCTATACTCGCTCTGGCTCCGATTAACTTTTATCTAAGGCTTTTATCTTTAGACTTAAAAATCTGTTGTTTAGTGTTCATTGTGATCCTGGTGTTTATATATTGTGATACCATATTGTCTTGAATCTGATGCCTTCATTCATGAGGAAAACTCCAGCTTGCCTTTGCAACCGTCTAAACGGTTGGCTCACAGAGTCATAGAAGGTCTTCAGGTGTGGCCCCTGCACACCAAAAGACCTGAGCCTCCTCAGCAGGTAGAGCGGGCTCTGGCCCTTCTTGAAGAGGGCGTCTGTGTTATGAGTCCAGTCCAGTTTGTGGTTCAAATGAACACCCAGGTACTTGTAAGAGTCCACTCTCTCGATGTCTTTCCCTCGATGTTCACTGGGGCTGGTGCAGATGACGTGTGCAGAAGTCCATCACCATCTCTTTGGTCGTCCCTGCACAGTGGGGGGGCTGTGGCTGTAAAGTTTCAAACTGTTGTTGTGTCCTTAGGCAAGACACTTCTCCCACCTTACCTAGAGTGAGTCTGGTGTGTGCGTGTTTTAGGTTTGTGATGGTGGGAGAGATCATTGATTGGTTTCCTTGCTTTCGCCAGTCTGCCTCAGTGCAACTGTGGCTACAGTAGATGCTTTGGGCTTTGCGAGTATGGAGTGAATGGTTATTGAGGTAGCGGAGTTTACTTTTTCTTGTAAGTCAGTAGGAGCCAGAGCAAAACTTTATCCATGAGCACTTCCCTATCAGGCTTTCGTTGAGCTAGCTGGTTTGAATTGTACATCTATTTAGAGGCTTTGGATGTTTCCAGAGGTCTCCCATCACAGTACCAATCAGGCCTCATCCTGCTTAGCTCCTGAGGTTAAGCCACTGCCTTAAAATACTGGTTTAATTTATTGACCCATGGCTGACACCCGTCTATTAATTATTATTGAATTAAAAACTATTCCCAGTGAAGGCATCAACGCAACATTATAAGCAACACTTTCTCAAATGCAGTTTCTTGCCCGCTCATTGGCTCTTAGTGACATCATCCGTGCATTCTTGGGGCGTGGCGTGTTCGCTGCGACCCCGCCCCCTGCAGCCTCCCTCCCTCTCTCGCTTTCTCTCTCTCTCTCTCCCCCTCCCCGTGTGGAGCCACCCCCCTCTCCCCCATCCTACTGTACTCCCCTCACATCCATGTAGCCTGCATTGGCTCACCTGGCTCCCGCGCGCCTCAAACCCCGCTCCACGATGACACCTTTACGCACGGATTGAATGGGGGGGACCTGGTCGGCAACGCGCGGACACCGTAAGACCGTTTTTACCGATCTGATACGACGGCGGCTGCAGGCTACACTCCGGTAAGACAGCACGCACGCACACACGCACGCGCATACACACAAATGCGCACACATACACACGCACACAACTTTGGAAACGTGCAGCATGCTCGAGTTGTGCCAAGGCGAGACGTGTGGATTAGTCTATTCTATCATGTATAATTTATAGTTGTCTGTACCATTTTGTGCCATTTTGCGTTTCTGCTTGAAGTCGTATAGTTTACATTGCATCCAATTTAAAGTTGTAATTTGCATGACTGTCTATGTGCAGGCTCTGTGTTTTAGTACATACATGTTGGCAGCGTGAGCCGGCGTCTCCCGTCTCCAGGAAAGCTCAAATCTCAGACATTACATTCGGCTCACGTCCTCATGCCGGGTTTCTTGAATGAATTTGCCATCAATGATTTGTACCTCCCTGGATCCCCAAACCGCTGCGCTTTTTTACATAACACGCCAGATGACATGCCTTTTAAGCCGGAACACGCTCCCAGCCATTCATAAATAAAAAGCAAACTGCCAAAGGGGGTTTGTGTGCTGCGGCGTGCCTCTCTGATGCAGTGGGTTTGATGTAGTTGTGCTGGAGCTGCTCGGTCACTACAGTACGTTGTTGCATGTCATTGCGTGTGTGATTCACGTGTGTTGCTGTGATGACGGAGCCGGGTGTGAACAGGGGCCACAGAATACTCGGACCAATGTTGGGTGTTGTCCTGTTAGTGTTGACTCTACTGTGGCAGTTGACTATAGTTTACATGTTCAAATACACATGCCTCTTTGGCTGGACAAAGTGGATAAAGGAGAGTACCAGATGTTGGAATCTATCAAAAAAGATATAGGGTAATTTCTTTTCTATTTGCATGGGGATATGTCCTACTGTATGTCATTTTTTGACAGTTTAGCAGAAATTGTCTAGTCAAATTTGTTATTAATCTGTAATTAATTACAGATGTTCTTCAGGGGAAGAAGCAAAGCTCACAAGTGAGTCAGAGTCAGAGGTCTGAAACTGAGTCAGAGTCAGAGGTCTGAAACAGTATGAATGATGAGCTGTGACTCTGTGCTGTCTGTGACCCTGTGCTCTCTCTCCTGCAGAGTGGTGTGTTGACTTCTCCCGGTGCAGCCTCGGTCCTCGTGCAGCCTCCCCATGCCTCCCTCTCCCCTGGACGACAGGATTGTGGTGGCGCTGCCCAGGCCGAGCCGACCTCAGGAGCTAACTCTGTCCCTGGATTCCAGTTACCTGGACACCTTCAGCAGCGGCGAGCACACGGTCATCAGCACCACAGTGGTGACCATCCGGGCCACGTATATGCCCTCTTCCAAGGGCTCCACGCGCTCTCTGTCGTGTGGATGTAGCAGTGCCAGCTGCTGCTCTGTCACCACCTATGAGCGGGACAGTCCCAGTCTGAGCCACAGCAGCCCAAACCTCTCGTACGCCGGGACGCCCAGCCCTCAGCTGCCCCCGCTTCGTAGCCATGAGGCCCGCAGTGTGCCCAGTCTGGCCTCAGGGCTGGTCCCGCACACCCCCAAAGTTCTCCCCAGGGCCCTGCCCACAGCCCTGCCCAAGCTGCTGCCCTCTGTGCGCCTCATGCACCCCAACGAACTGGCCAAGAGACTGAGCTGCTGCCCCCTGGGACACACCATGGGCCCAGTCCCAGTCATCATCGACTGCAGGCCGTTCACGGAGTACAACAAGTGCCACATCCACGGAGCCGTGCACATCAACTGTTCAGACAAGATGAGCCGGCGCCGGCTGCAGCAGGGGAAGATCACCGTGCTGGACCTGCTCTCCTGCAGAGAGGACCAGGACGCCTTCAAGGGGCTGTTCTCCAAAGACATCGTGGTTTATGACGACAGCACCATGGACCCACACCGCCTCAACCCGGCACAGCCACTACACGTGGTTCTGGAGTCCCTGCGCAGAGAGGGCAAGGACCCCATGGTCCTCAGAGGTACTGCTAATGTGTGTTAGTGATTAGTGTTGTGGGTACTGTTCATTAGAGAATCATGAGTCTTTAAAGGCACACCGTGTAACTCTTGGCCACTAGGGGCGCGAGACCTGCAACTTTCACGTTTAGCGCCCCTAGTGGCCACAAGCAACTCAGCACTGTCGCAAAAGTCAACAAACAGTCAGCCGGTGTCTTTTGAGTGTGTATTCAGACAGCATGCACTGGTGTGTGTGTTCAAACTGTAGAGACATGCCTACAGATATTGAGAGACTCTGCTGTGGTCAGCCTCCAGACCGCTGCATTAGTAATCTACCACACATGGACTTCTATATCCTGGATGAGGGAGTTCTGCGTCTAGCTCGTGCTGCGTGGAATGACATCTTTGCAGTCGATGACATCCAGGAACCAGGTGAAGAGCAGCGCTCATACAGACATGCAGCTTACAGCACGATCCCTTTCGCGTTTCCTCTTTTTAGCCTCCTCCGAAGGTTTAAAATTTTTCCTTGCCTCAGCCATGACCAGGAGTCGAGCAGGTGAAAAATGAGTAGCAAAAGCCTTAGCTCCATGAGTATATCAGCGCCTGTAGCCGTAAAGCAAGTCTTTCTTCCAAGTCACGTGACCTGGTGGCAGACGGTCCGTCTGCTCGAAACTTACATGGGCGGTATTTCAAGAGGGCAGCCCCGCTCGGAGCATTGCAAGTGTCAAGCGCTGTATATTGGCCCAAGTATTCATATAAAATAACTCATATGTGTCAACTCTTTAGGTCACAAAGTCCGCGGTGTGCCTTTAATATAGTCCTCTTTGACACAGTCTGACGCAGGATCAGACTGGTGCAGATGTTGTAGGTGACTGGGGGAGCTTCAGACCTTAATGGACTTCCTGATTTGAAAATAGAACAAACTCCACCACATGCATTAAGTTGACATCTGGAACATAAATCATTCAGGTACCTGAGAGCAGCACCACTGCAGACATGAAGTCATTTGAATATTATTTACTCACAGACTTGTGAGATCTATCACTGACACATTCAGCAGTTACTGTGGGTTTCATAAAACAGTTTTGTTTCATTCATGAGCAGTGAGATGTTTGCCACAAATCAAAGATCAAACGTCATGATCCTAAACTTCAGCATTTATTACTGTAGTTACAGCTAATCCTACAATTTAATCTACTGCACTGAGAATCCGTTTTTGTGTGTGTGAGTGTACCTGTGTGCGTGTATGTGACCCTGTGTGTGCCAGTGTCCATGTATGTGTATGTGTGTGTGTAGGTGTGTATGGTTCGGTGTGTGTACTGTATAAAAATGTTTTGTGGTGGGTCTGTTTTGGGTCAGGTTGACCAAAACACTGTAAAGCACTTAGTGTTGTAACATACTTTCTGTACACAACCGTACCTCATGGTCAGAGACACATTATTCTTTAAAATGAAAAACAATTTAAGTTGCAGACGTCACCTTTATGCTTATGTAAGATTAAAAAAACAATTAATTGCTTATTAGATGAGCTTTCAACTGTCTCAATAATCGATTATTTGTGATTCAGTGATTCGATTGTTACAGCCACAGTCTAAATATGATTTCATGGATTATTTTCCACTGAGAGGGATGTACACATCTGTATAAGGGTCACTGTCGCTTCTAAAACAGCAGCCATATTGTCACATTTCGTTTCAAAATCGGCAAGTGTGTTTTTAGCCTGTAGCCTTTAGCCTTTAGCACAGTGGCCTTTAGCCTTTTGCCCTGTGGAATTCTGAAAAGTTTGTGGCTGTTTATTAGCAGCACGAAGCACGCAGCACAGTGTATTTTTAGCATTTAGTGAGAATTGAACCCTTCACCCCAGCAGCTCGGCACAGAGTAAACACACAGAGGGACGAGTGAACGGAAAATACATGTTTAAGATCAGATAATGTATGGAAAATTACTTCTTTAGTCGTAAATATAACAACAAATTTCCGCTCTATTTGACTCTATTCTACTCTATCCTTCCTTACACTACACTGAAAATAGTTTGCTTCTATCACTGGTTCCCACCTACATGTCTTGTTTTAGCCTCATCTTTAGAACAAAGTGAAAGCGAAAGGACCACCTCACTCAGCCAATCAGCACTCAGCAAATAGGGGTGTTTGTTACATGTTAAATGTTAGTTACAGACAACATGTTGGTCTAATTTGTTCACAAAATGTCACTATATTTGTCGGAGCAAACGTAATCTATTCATTCATTGTTTTGTGCATCACCCTGAATCACAACAGCAGTCGTCTCAGAGGACTTTACCGAGATGTCGATTCGCCAACAACAGATCAGAGAATCAAATACAAGACTGAAGCTGTAGATCCAGGAATAAGGCAGTAGATCTTGGACAAAAAAATGTCTCCCAAATGTATACAGATTATATAAGACCAACATTTTATTATATTATTGTAGCATTTGATTTCTCGTACTTATTTGCTTTGCCGTAGTGTGTTTGAGGCATGGTTGCCACAGCGACCAAGAGATTTGAAAATTGTAGCTGAACATTGTGGTTTTATTACAGAGAATTGTTCCTTTGGTTCAGGGTGAGTCACCACAGCTCCCAAGGTGAATGTGTGGATCCATACGAGAGTTTTACTCACAGCTCTGTGATATCACACTTATCAGTCAATATTGTGGGTTCGATTCCACCTCCAGAGCATAGAACGTTTATTAGGAGTGGACTGACTGAGTGTGACATCACCATAGTCTTAGCCTTTATACAGAAGAGGCTGATTTGAACATAAGCTAGCTGGAGCCAATTTCCTTATATGGGCGTTAGTTTTGCACTGTAACAGTGCAGATCTGTTTCTATGATAGTTGCTAAGGCTACTCTACTCTACCTGGTTGGGAGTTTTTACCCCAGCCCTGTTTAATCACTACCAGGTCCTTTTTCAGTACCTGGTTGGTCCTGGTTCTATCCTGGCTGAGCTGGTACTGGAGTGTTTCAACTGACAGAGATTGGCCAGTGTGCAGCAGTAATGGTAACCAAGGAATTTCTGGTTTATTGTGGGTAGGTTGCTATGATACAGTACCAGATACTAAAGTAGTAGTACTAACGAGTCGAGTCGAGTCGAGACGAGACGAGACATGGCGTAAACATGGCTGATGTGTGTTTCTGGCGTTCGCAGGAGGCCTGAGCTGTTTCCGCACGAGCCACGAGAACCTGTGCGAACACTCCCTGCACTTGGAGCCCTGCAGCTCTTCGTCCGGCCTCACGGCGGCGCTACCTCACCCCCTCCCCTCCGGGCCGGACCACATGGAGCACACGGAGCCCACCCCTATCCTGCCCTCGCTGTACTTGGGCAATGAGCAGGACGCCCAGGACCTGAGGCTGCTGCAGCGGCTCCGCGTGGGCTTCATCCTGAACGTCACCACGCACCTGCCGCTCTTCCACTACGACAGCGGGATCTTTGTCTACAAGCGCCTCCCCGCCACCGACAGCAACAAGCAGAACCTACGGCAGTACTTCGAGGAGGCCTTCGAGTTCATAGGTGCGCACACTTCTCACAATACATACGCAAAATTATCTGCTGTGTAGCCTGAAATCACAGCAGAAGTAGTCTCGGAGGACTCGTCAACAACAGAATCAAACAGTTTGAACGCAGTAAATGCAATAATAACAAACACGTTGTAGCCATTGGTCCAGAAGGAGCGGGAAGAAGTCCAGAAATGTTAGTTAATGTGCACAAATGTCCTGGATCATCACCGCATCGTTAAGGAACCAATGAAAAACCTGGTGGGGAAATACGAATGGACAAGCTGTAGACCCAGGACTGAGGTAGTAGATCCAGGACTGAGGTAGTAGATCCAGGACTGAGGCTGTAGATCCAGGACTGAGGCTGTAGACCCAGGACTGAGGTAGTAGATCCAGGACTCAGGCTGTAGACCCAGGACTGAGGTAGTAGATCCAGGACTGAGGCTGTAGACCCAGGACTGAGGTAGTAGATCCAGGACTCAGGCTGTAGACCCAGGACTGAGGTAGTAGACCCAGGACTCAGGCTGTAGATCCAGGACTGAGGTAGTATCCAGGACTGAGGTAGTAGATCCAGGACTCAGGCTGTAGACCCAGGACTGAGGCTGAAGATCCAGATACTTTCTATCTCTCAAAACAGTTTCCTTCTATCACTGGTTTCACATGCACATATTTGAGGTCTTGGTCTTGGTCCTGGTCCTGGTCCTTTTCCTTGGTCTAGTTTTCACATGCATGTATTTTTGGCCTCTGTCACATAGCTAGATCCGTTTTTTCAGGCAGAAAAGTGGGACAGAGAGGACCACCCAATCAGCTTTCATCCCAAAGAGTCAAATAGTGACTCATAAGGATAAGGATCTTTATTACAAGCATGCAAAAGAAAAAGACAATAATAGCATTTGATTTGCGATTTTATTCATTTTACTTTTACAATTTATTCACAGAGAAAAAAGTTAAGGCAAAATATTGTATAAACACCAAGATCATAGATTTTTTTTAACTCAAAATGCTGAGTGTGACATAATCCGTTGCTCTGATTGAGGAGATTACTCTTCCAGGTGAGTCAATATGAGCAGGAGAGAGTTGGAGAAAATCTTCGTTTGTGAGCACTTCCCTTTTGGGCTTCATTGAGCGAGTGGGTCAGCTTTATCCATCTGTATACATGCTATGATTTTAAGGAAACTTCTTTTGTTTTATAAGACAGAAACCAGCTTTTGATACTATTGAATTCGTATTTTAGCTGGATGTTTGGTACAATATCATGACCAGAGCGTCAACAGTGAAGACCAGTGATTGTTTTATCATTTAGATTATTTGGTGAAATGAATGCTTCCTGTTGGTTGCACCGGCCTCAGAGTATCATCGACGTAAGGTCCTTGAAAACAGCAGTGACTCATTCTCAAGCCAAAGTAATAGGCCACGATCAAATACACTTTTCATTCATTCATCTCCAGGGAAACCATAAACTCCAGCTCTCTACAAAAACTGGGTCTTTCTGTTTATTTGATTATAGCCCAGATCTCACTGCTTCTTATGTCTCTGTATGAGATACTAGAACTCCCAAAGCAGTCAGTTTGACGGGTTTTAGTTTAGGTATTCTGTGTTCATATGTCATTTATTTCTATTTAATTAATTTCATGAAACTATCTTTTATATTTGAAATGTAAGGAGTTCTACTTTGAACTCCCAGAGATATTTTGACTGAGAAATGGCAGTTAAAGCCCCATTTTCATTTTGCTGGTCCTGGACTGGTCCCGGACTTGTTTCTGGGCCGGTCCTAGATAAGATAAGATTAGATAAGAGATCCTTTATTCGTCCAACAGTGGCGAAATTTCAATGTCCTGGTCCTGGCCTAGTTCTGGACTGGTTCTGAGCAGAGCTTGGTTTTCCACCAGGGAAGAGCATGGGCTAGTTACCATAGCAACACACTGTTTGCTTGATCTTTAGCATTAGTCTTTCAACAAACTGTTTTTGCTGTTTATTCAGTCATAATACCCAGTTTTATAACTTATTAAAAGCAAGTGAAGGCTTTAAAAAACTTTGGGGTTTTTCCAGAATTCCATTTGAATGGGAGCCGTCAAAATGATTGGGCACTCTAGAAGTTTCAGAATGCTGGGAGTCCTAGTACTAAACCCTTTGTACTTGCAGAGGAGGCGCAGCAGTCGGGCACGGGCCTCCTCATCCACTGTCAGGCGGGCGTGTCGCGGTCCGCCACCATTGTCATTGCGTACCTGATGAAGCACACCTGGATGACCATGGCGGACGCTTACAAGTACGTGAAGACGCGGAGGCCCATCATCTCGCCCAACCTCAACTTCATGGGCCAGCTGCTGGAGTTTGAAGAGGACCTCAACAACGGCCTCACTCCACGGATCCTGGCGCCCAAGCTCACGGGGGTGGAGACGGTCGTGTGAGGGATGGGCGAATAGGTTGCGTTCTTGTGAGATAACAACATTCCAAGGAGCCTATAGTTTAAGATTGCGGTAGAGGAAATCTGAAATATCTGCTCTCTCTCTGGTCTCTCTCTGGTCTCTCTCTGGTCTCTCTCTGTTCTCTCTCTGGTCTCTCTCTGTTCTCTCTCTGTTCTCTCTCTGGTCTCTCTCTGTTCTCTCTCTGGTCTCTCTCTGTTCTCTCTCTGGTCTCTCTCTCTGGTCTCTCTCTCTGGTCTCTCTCTCTGGTCTCTCTCTCTGGTCTCTCTCTCTGGTCTCTCTGTGGTCTCTCTCTGGTCTCCCTCTGTTCTCTCTGGTCTCTCTCTGGTCTCTCTCTGGTCTCTCTCTGTTCTCTCTCTGTTCTCTCTCTGGTCTCTCTCTGGTCTCTCTCTGGTCTCTCTCTGGTCTCTCTCTGGTCTCTCTCTGGTCTCTCTCTGGTCTCTCTCTGGTCTCTCTCTGGTCGCTCTCTTGTCGCTCTCTTAAACATACCTCTTAGGCCAGGTAATATTATGAATCTTCACCCATCTTTTATTGTCTGTTATGGATCATATGAACGCAACCTATTCTGCCAAAAGTCCCCCAGATTAAAAAAATAAAAGTCTTTTTCAGACTTGCAGATGATCCAACAGACAGAAAACAAGAGGAAAGACATTTTCCAAAAGATTTCTTATTATAAAAGGGCAATTATTGACACAGCTGTCTGAAGAGTCAGACTCGGGGCAGTGCCTGTCTAAAAACAAAACATATATATATATATATATATATATATAAATATATATACGTATACTTAATATTTGATGTGTGTATGTTACTCTATTTTTCTACAGGGGTGTTTGGGGTTGACCAGCCCGAATTGTGGCTTTTACTGTGCAATAATTTTAAAAGAGTAGAATGCAACTTTTCTCTGTATATATTGGTAACATGGCTCCAGGACACGGACAGCGTTTTGCTGGTGTCATGGTGAGATGTTGGAGCGGAGTGGGGAAGGCTGCATTTGAGTCTAATTCAGATTTTAACAAATGTTTTAATCTGTACTGTCCACCCACCGCTTTAGCCAAATAAACAGCTACATTTATTTCCCAGACAAAATATACAATACATTCCCTTTATTTTCTGCAGTAATCTGAATAACAAAAAACATGAGATAAACTACAAGTTTACAGCAAGCCACACTGCTTTAACACTATCAAACAGCCTGTGTTTAAAAGGGACTGAATGTAATATTTCCTCATGTATGTGTTCCCAGATCACATGTCACATGTGTGTCCCCATGGACCATGTGACCTGTTATCTGAGGACACGTGTGAAGATGTAGAGTAGAGCAGAATGTGTCTCATCTGGGTTGGTATTTTGAATGAAAGAATATAGCACCAGACATTCATTTAAATTAAAGCAGATGCATAAATAAGTATAATACGTAACACAGAGTTTGTAATGTTTCTATTTAAACCCCAGCAGGTGGATTGCATCTGTAAACAGATTGAGGAGGACAACTCTGTAATGATTTGTATCATTCAACTCTTATGTACTTTATTGCATACTGTCCCTTTAATCTATTTTCATTAACAAACTTCAGGCAATTGAAGTAGTATATTAAATATGTCCCCCCCCCAAATTTCTATCTTTATTATGTTAGCAATAGCCCTTATATAGTGAGTATATCACCAGAGAGCCATATACTGTGTACAAACATGGCTGCACATTCTGCTTCTTCAACAGGGCTATATTAACGTACAATGGGGTCATTTTGACGTTTTACGTGTGTGCTCCTTATTGAATTTTAAACACTTAATTTTGGACGACTCATTTGATTCTCTTCTCTAAATTACTGGTAAATGCCAAATCAATATGAAATCTATCTGCTCTGGGCCTTTCCGGAAATGATACTGTGATTGCTGCTAACCTGTCAAAAATATTCACATCGTTAAAGCTTGGGTACCTAACTGTATTTTTCAAAGCAAGAGACAAAAGATCTGGCTTGAATGTCAAAGTAACTATCAACGTGTGACTTGAATTTGCCCCTTACACTTGATGTTGTCCAAAAGAAATGTTTGTATTTAGATAAAATTATTACTAGATGATTAATATTATAATAATTATTCTATGTATTTAGAGCAGTTGTCTCAGAGGCCTTTAAAAAGTTATGGATTCCTCAACAACAGATCAGAGAAATTTAATAATAACAAGTAGGCCTGTCGCGATATTCAATAAATCAATTAATCGCATGATAATTAAAATTAGCTCGATAGTTTTCCTGGCTGCGATGAATCCCATTTGCATGCTTGTTTTTTCCCCTCTCTCTCTCCCTCTCGGGTCAGAAAGCCACAAAGTGGTCACGCGTGACGCGAGCAGACTGAAATAGCTCAAAAATACAAAATACAGCCAAAACAGGACCTAAACCAGGACTTAATCAGGATTGACAACGGGGGACACAGTAGTTGTTCTCATTCAGGCTCTAGTAGTGACTAAACTAGAGTTTAGTCTAACTAACGCAGTTAGCGTTAGCGTGTTCGCCGATGCGGAAGTACCGTTTAATAATAAAATAAACTAATGACGCACCTCTGTGAACACATACTGGTGTTATATAAAGTCTCTGGAAGGTCTCAGGACAAAGAGACGCTGCAGAGCTGCATTATTGGCAAGAACTTTACACAAAAAGCCGCTAGCATAGCATCAAGCTAGCCGCTTTTTTACTTCCGCATACATAAAAGTGTATTTCTCTTTGAAAAGGTGTACCTGCAACATTATCATCGTATTAGATGAAAATTATCTCAGAACGACAATACTATTGCCTATCGCAATAATTTCTGAGACAATTAATCGTCCAGAAAAAATTGTAATCGTGACAGGCCTAATAACAAGGAGCCATTGGTCTATAGGGAGCGGGATGACCACTGTCCAGAAATGTTGATAAATGTGAAAAAATGTTTGATCCAGGACTGAGGTTGTAGATCCAGGCTTGAGGCAGACAGCCCTAAACCAAACTCTTTTGAGAGAGGTCTATTATCTAGCTTATGTTATTGTGGTTTGAAACGTAGGTACCCCAGCTTTAATACATCAATGTGATATTTCTCACCACTCTGTGTACGTTTTCCCCTTGTATCTGGTGCTGCCGACACGCTGTTAGTGCCTCTATCCACAGACACGGACCACGACAGACCCAGAGGAGGAGGCAGAAATGAAAGAGCATTTCATGTAGCTGTGCGGTTAGTAAGGGATTTGCTGAGTCAGCATGGGAAGCTGCCAAAACGCCGTGAGGGCAACTGTCCCATTACGTAAGGCTGGTCCCGTGGTGCGTTTGAGGCCCTATCGTGAATTCAAATGGACTTTCAGAAGGCCGTGGTTCATATGCACTAATGTTTTGGCATATCATCAAAACAGATAAATGTCAAAGGGCTCGTTTTTTGCTAAATCAACGTAAGGGTACTATCAAGGGAACGTGTTGTGATGTCACTGTATACTTTTCACTGCGACCTTATGATCATATTATCCAGTAGCTATTTGGGTAGAGGGATATGTGTATTTTAAATGGTCTTACAAAGTTCAAAGCTGAGTATAGAGAGATTGTTTTATTATCATTTATTTCTCTACATCTCTCTGTATTTTTTGTGTATGATATTTTTCATATGTGTAAAGCTGGGGTACCTGACTTTTTTGTTTCATAAATATATATGTTGTGTGTCCCAACAGGAATAGAGAAATCAGTCCAGAGTGAGATGAAGACATGCATGCTAAGTGTGGGTGGTCCTCACTTTTTTACTTCTCTATTTGAAAAAGGTGATCTCTTGTATCTCTGGTCTTTCTATGGTCTCTCTCTCTGGTCTCCCTGGTCCCTCTCTGGTCTTTCTCTAGTCTCCCTCGCTGGTCTCCTTGGTCTTTCTCTGGTCTCTCTCTGATTAATCTTTCTCTGGTCTCTCTCTCTCAGGTCATTCTCCAGTCTCCCTCTGGTCTCTCTCTGGTCTCAATGGTCTTTCTCTGGTCTCTCTCTCTCTCTGGTCTCTTTCTGGTCTCTCTTTCTGGTCTCTCTCTGTCTCTCACTTTTCTGTCTGAAAAATCTGATCTCAAGATTTAGCAGAGAATACATGCAAGTGAAAACTGTTTTAGAGCCAGGGACTAGTGACATGGATTTTAATTGCTTTGAAAGTGAAGTACCCCAGCTTTAAACGTCAGCATACATTGATGGTGTTTGTATCTTTTTGCCTTATTACCTTTTTCAGCAACAAATGAAGAGTTTATTTGCAAAAATAGTGAAAGAGTGACAATTGTCTCTTTACCAAGACGTTTTCAACCATTGAGCGGACCGATTAGGAGTGGACCGAGTGTGACATCACCAAAGTGTTAGCTGAACTGCAGATGAAGACAATTGAAACCAAAGCTAGCTGGAGTCAATTTTAATTTATGGGTATTAGATTGGTGTTAGATTTGTGCCATAACAGGGCCAGCTGGAGTTTCCCTGGCAAATGAGGGCATCTGATTGGTCAATCCTTATATGGCTCATACTGTATCTGGATTTAGACAATATCACAATAATTTTTAGCCCCAAATAGTGAGTGGGCCATTAACAGTCACTAAGCTCGAGGAGTTTACTTTTGCAGTTGGAGCCAGACTTCATCATGAGCACTTTCCTGTATACAGTAAAGTCTATGGTTTCACATGTTCTGCCCATAGCTAGATTGGAAAGAGATAAAGACTTTTTTTCCCCCGTTTTTGCAAATGAGCTCTTCAAAAATAAGTGTAAATCTATAAAAGTACAGATAGTATTTTCTATATTTCCCAGTCCTAGCCACGCTGCTAATTTGAACTTTTGAAAGCTTCATTCTCAGATGTTGCCAGCAGAGGGCAACATTATCAGTCCATTTTTCGGTTCTGTCCACACAAAGTCGAATTCAAGCCTAAACGCAAGAAAAAAACTTTAGCAATGCAGTGTCTCATCCAATGATAGCCCAAGTTTTGGGGCTCTGAAGTGAAAAGATGCAGAGAAGAGG